CCAGTGACTTATCTTCAATTAGGGGTACAGACCAGGATTTTGAATCTGGATCTCGCGCAATGTGGAAGATTTTGACGTGCTTTTGTAGGATTTGCAAACGGTGATCTCAAATCCTGACTTCGGATTTTTAGTCGGCACGTCCCTTTCTGAGACAAAAGAGTGTTTTAATAGCACAAAGAAACCCGTGAGTGCATATCAGGTGATTCTACTGGTTTGTTAGCCGACCACGACATTGTTTACTACGATTCCTCACAGGTGAGTAAAACTTTTTTGCAACAATTCCCCCTCGCATGGTATCCTTTACTTGGAAGTTGCGCATGATTGACACGCTCTGCAGGATTGCCACTCTTTAAGGTTCTTTGAAAAAAAAATGCCAGTTATGAAAGTATAAACGCTTCACTAAGAATAACTTGTAACATTGTCATCTTTAAATGAAGAAACTGTAGACACTAAAATAAAATAATATGAGCTAATTTTCGTCTAAGGAAAACATTTGTTGGAACAAATAAGTACTTAGAGGTCAAAAGCTCTCTGTTGTTACTGTTTGCGGGTAATGATCACGTATGTTACCCAAAATTAATTACTTATTCCAAATTAATAATCCCGAAACTAGATAATACGAGAAATCATACCCCTTCAGTTTTGACCTACTCACTGAATATGGCAACTTGCTGTCGCTTTCAACTGATGTTAAGTTATGTAGGGAACGAAACGGGGTGCGGATTATTGGTAACTGAGAGTTCATAGCATCAAAATTTTTAGTTTCGCAAGGGCTTGAAGAGCAAACTGAAGTCGATTGCTGTAATAGAATGCTGCAGCAGCTTATCTGAGAGTTAATGATGAGATCAAGAATGGAATCCATGGAAAAATTACTCCAATTGAGTAAATCGCTGGCTTTCAGCGGAAAAAAGTACCGTTGATCTCTAAAGATTTGGAAAAAATCGTTTTTCCTAGTAATTCAGCCAAAGTGTGAATCATAAAGACTACATCATTATCGGCAGCGAACAATAAGCCTAAACCGAAGGTTGAAGGACTCATTCATCAACGCTGTCGTTTCCGATGTCCATTGGACTTCATCTTCTCAGCATATTTTGGTGAGACAACATCGCTTTAGGAAACTGCTATCTTGCCCGCCGTGTTCTAGGTGAAGGGTTCTATAAAAAACGATGCTTCTCTGACAAGTCTGTCTTTGCCCAGTGAGGTTCAATAATCGACAACATAGAGTTCAATGACAGGATGTTTTGTGCACCATTAAACTAAGACTGGGTAATATTAAGTAATTCCACGCTTTTCGTCCAGTTTCTGCAGATCATACCAATCCACCAGCTATCCTTGATTGTCCAGACAGCTCCGCATGCCTTCACCAAAGACAAGTGCAAGACGACGTGCAGCATGCGTT